TCCGATTAGATGCAATGTCAATGACTTTACAATCATTAGTTTCAAACATGACATTGAATCCCTTATCACATAATTGACTAATACTCAAAAGATTATGCTTTAACTCATTCACATATAAAACATTTTTAATTTGTATGGAAGAGGTATTACCTATTGTACCTATACCTTCAATGTGACCTTTTGAATTATCACCAAAAGTCACTTCTCCTCCATTTTTGGTGTTAAGCTCTATGAACCGGCTTTTGTCCCCGGTCATGTGTCTTGAGCATCCACTATCAATGTACCATGAGTTTGAATTTGTTTCCCGTGCCTTGTAGCAATGCTCATTTTCCTATAAACATAGATTAATTTCTAATTTTTGGTACCCAAATTCTTTTGGGTCCATATTCATTAGTTTCCAAAATCCTAGTCCCCTTAGGTATCCATTTATGTAGGATATCCTTATCTTTAGTAGTAATGAGTCCTTTAGGAACCCATATACTTCTAACGATTTTTCCATTATGACATACCACGAACTGCAAACACTTCAACAAATATCGCATACATTTATGTTTTAGAGTTTGAATTTTGATTATAAGAATCAACCATCATAGCAACATCGTCATCGTTGGAGAGTTCAAACGTTGTATAAGTTAACGAAAATACTGCAGTTGTAAATTTGTACTATAGTGAGAATAGTTTTTTGTACTTCCAACATTAACATTCCTTTAAATTTTAGTGATCAGCTCCTCAAGAGTGATGTTTCTCTTGAAGGATATTCTGACATAATGATTTGATGCGAAGACAACGCCTGTTTCATCTTCCCGAATTTGCCCATTATAGTAGATAATAGCTGAAATACACCTCATTTTGAGATTTTGAAAGATTGAGTCTTATATCTTCGAAAATAATTGTTGAAATACGCCTAATTAAATAAATAGTATACAAACTAAAATATAAATTAATGCTAAATATATATATATATAAATAATATATAGTAAATTAAATAATATAATTTAATATTGTTAATGTATTAGCAAAATATCTCAAGATTTAATCTCGCCTTTCATTTTACAATCGTAACAAATAATACGAAATAGTTAGTAAAAAATATTGGTCAAATAATTAAATATAAAATAAATATAATATAATATAATAAAAAATAATTTTGCCTTCTATGAACTATAACAAAATCTACACAGCTTAATAGAAGGAATGATGTAAAAGTAATTTGGGTGTGGTTTGATGTTTGCGTTCGAGGATACTTATATGGGAGGGGATGTGTGAGTCATCGAAATTTAAGACTCGGGTAAGAATGAAGTACCAAATAATTTAAGGTGAATAATAGAAGGAATGAATCACCATCTGTGCCTTCTGTCGTGTGTCATCTTTACCACGAAGGCACATATGGTGTTCTGCACTTTGCCACGTGGTGTCAACTCGAACAAAAACTCAAGGAAGGTGTGTTTGGTGATCTACGCCTTCCGTTTATGTCAATAAATAGATGTTAGATCGGTAAAATTTGATCAATATGTGACTCACATATAATAATTTGATTATTTCGGTTATTTTTGAGTAAAAACGCCTCAAGGTCTTCATTACGTTAGTCTTTTGTATTGTAGTTTACGCAGACAGACGCGAGAAAAGTTGAGCATAAATTATTTAGTGTCGAAACTTGCGGTAGGCTCGGACCTGTCCCCCTTTTAAACTGGTCCATACAAACTCCTCATACAATCAAACATTTTGACTCTTATTTCACTCTTCAAGGGAAAAAAATAAATAACTGATGGAAATGGGTGACCAGTACGGCCTGCCTGATCTCCAGCGGCTTTTAACGAGTAGTACCCATTTCCCGGTATCCCTGCCGCTGCCTTCTGACCCGTACTTTGCTCATAGGAACATGACTCCGTCAATTCCTTACCATGATGCAGCGGCCTACATGCTCAGCAATGGGATTGCAATGCCTAGCGGTTTGCTTAGGTTTGGCCCCAGCTCCACCACCGCTTTTACTGCTTCAGCTTCTTCTGGTGGTGGTGGTGGGTGGAGTATGGGAAGTTTCGAAGGCGGAAACAGCCGGTGGCCGAGGCAAGAACTCTCTTGAGATCAGATCTAGACTTGATTCCATGTTCAAAGGGGCTAACCAGAAAGGACCCTTGTGGGATGAAGTCTCTAGGTATATTTTTATACATATATCATCATTACACTAAACTAAACTGACTGCAATCTTCTTTTTCTTCTTCTTCTTGTTTCAGTTATATGATATATGCTTAATCAAGAAACCCTATTCAGCTTTGCTGAGTGAAACCCTTTTGTCTTTCTACTTATACGAAAAGTCCCACATAAGCTTTGAATCAAATGATTTTTTTTTCTTCATCTCAAATGGATTTTTAATAAGTTTCTGTTTGAAAGCAACAGATCTGTGAGTTAACACGGAGATGCAGGTGTTCTTTCTTCTGTAAAAAATAGAAATGGAAAATTTTTCTTGTTTTCTCGATAGCAGTGAACCAACGGCATTCCTTTACTTCCACAAAACAGAAACTTAGTGAACCCTAAACTATAGTAATTAATTTAATATTTTATCTATAATTTTTAATTATTTTATGTTTAACTTGTTTATCATGATATAGAATAATGGCGGAGGAATATGGATACATGAGAAGTGGGAAGAAATGTAGAGAGAAGTTTGAAAACCTATACAAATACTACAAAAAGACCAAGGAAGGTAAAGCTGGGAGACAAGATGGGAAAAATTACAGGTTCTTTAAACAGCTGGAGGCCATCTGTGGTGAAACAAGCAATCCTCCAAGTTCAGTCCCAGAAACCAGCACTAATGTCCCGAGCAACCCTCAACAAGAAGAATCCATTCAGGAACGAAAGATAAGTGAGAGCCTCGGTTTCTCCGAATTCGATAATTCGTTGTCCGAGGACGAAGATGGTGGCCAACGTTCGGCTTTTGCTTTCACGGAGAATCAAAAGAGGGTAAAGAAGGGGTGGAAGAAGTGGAAGGTGAAGGACTTTGTGGATTCGCAAATGAAGAAGTTGCTCGATTCACAAGATGTTTGGATGGAGAGAATGTTGAAGGTCATTGAAGAGAAAGAGCAAGAAAGATCGTCGAAAGAGGAGTGGAGGAGACGGAAGGCTGCTCGTTTCGACGCAGCGCACGAGCTCTGGGTTAAGGAAAGAGCTTGGATTGAAGTTCGAGATGCTGCGTTAATGGAGGCCGTGAGGAAATTAAGTAAAACCCAGAACGAGATCAACAGAAACAGACCGAATGAGCATGAAATCTCAACCTTGGGACGAAGGTTCCAGGAAAATAATGGGTATTCGAATCAAAACACGTGGGAAGAAATAGAAGCGAAAATGATGAGTTCGGGGTATGAACGTGAAACGAACAACGCCGAGTGTTACAAGAAGCATAAAGAGGGCCATTTTCAGCAGCTTGAGTCCTCCATTGATGGTGAAGAAAATAAGAGCGTTTACGGTGCAAAACATATGGATTCATCATCGCCACCTTCGAGTTCTTACGACATCAATTCATTTCATATTTCTGCAGTGAGCCAAGGAGATCAATGGGACAGAAACGGATTGAAGATGATGAGTGAGGGAAAGAATCAACAAAGTTAGTTCTCCGTCTGTCTATTCTCTCATTATTAGCACTCACGTATATAAAAGAGCTTAAACTAGTCCCTTAAGCAAGTTTCTGCAGGAGAATTTATGGATCTTTATGACTTAATATTAAAGATTCAGGATTCTAAAATCTCAAGAACATGAAATCTGATCTTTTTAAAAAATTATAAAGAAAATACCTGAATGCTTGATATTTTCAAATCTCAAGAATAAATTACATGTTATCAACCTTAAATAAATAAAAAAAATGTTTGTTAAGTGCCGTATTTTATAGTGTTGAATTGAATCTAGAAAATTATTAAATATATTAAATAATATTTTATATCCAAATATTGGATAAAATTTAAAAGCATAATTTAATATTTCATTCTAAAGAGAGAATTATTTTAAATATACATAAATAGAATGATTTAACATATCTTACTGTACTTCGTTACCTACTTTTTGTTATCCAACACTTTTAAACAACCAAATACTTCTCCATGAAATTGCCTTCGCGTTATCTTAAATTTTAAATATATAAATCATTTAATATTCGCAAAATAATATTATATTTGATATTAATTATTAATTAATTATTAATTTATGCATCCAATACAGCTAGGGTTTGCTGGGCTTAAGGTTGGGCTTGACAGGCCCATTTTACTTGTTGATTTATTTTGCCTAAGTTTTTTGGGCCTTTGTTGTACCATGCTATTTCTAAATGAAATTTCATTGAAGAAAACAACTAAATAAATAAACCAGAAAGGGAATATTTTAATTGAAAAATAAAATAATTAACAAATAATATAATAATAATTATGTTTCATTTTTGCTTCTCATCTATATGTTTCGTTTGACAATCTGTTACATAAATTGTACGGGTCTATTTTTTTATTAAATATCTTATTATTTTTTATTATTATCTAATCGCCCATTTTTACTCATCAGCTATTCTAAATCTAAAATTAAAACTTCACATAATATAATTAGATCATATCTTTTATTATTTTTTTGTTTAAAGAGAATAAATAAGCATTTTAATTTTGTGGACTTAAATAAAACCCTATTTATTTGTTTAAAGAGAATAAATAAGCATTTTAATTTTGTGGACTTAAATAAACCCTTTTAAATTAAAATATTTTAATGAAAATAATACGCTGGTACTGTCCCCTAACCTATTGGGCTATTTTCTATTTTAGCCTCACATTGGCATTTAGACACTAATGGGGCGAATCGATTGACACGTGGTCTCAACTATCTTTCGGCTATGGTAATCGTACTGGCTAGCTTTTAGCCAACAACAGAATGATAATTGGACTAGTCAATTTTGTCGGTAATACAACTAAGATTCTTTAGTGACGCTTGAAATGTCACTAGTTTAACACATACGTGCTTCTTTAAATAAAGCATGCGGAAAACAAAGAAAACGGATAATTACACAAAAACAACCAAACTTTCGAAATATTTACAATAACCCACCAAAAAAAAACAAAGGGAAACTAATCCCTTCACAACCAGGAGACCTTTACAATCAACAAACAAGGATAATTCAAGGGTTTGAAGGGCATTCCACAAGCTTCTTTCTCGACTCTTTAATGGCGTTTTCATCGTCTCGTTCGTACGGGACATGGTTTCTCCTGCTTCTGGATTTCCATTTCTTCCCACACTTGCAAAAGAATTCTCTTGAATCTGTTCCATTGCGGGGTTGTCGCGGGTTCTCAATGAAAAACCCTGCCCTCTCAACAAACAGTTGTACGCGTGTGTGTCGAAAGACTCCAGGCCGAAATGCGATCGAATGGAGGAACTGAACAACGGTTGCATCAACCGTTTCTTCTCGGGGAATTCGCGTAATGACACTCGGCAAACAGGGCACGTGGAATGCTGTTGCAGCCATATATCGATGCATGTTACATGGAAGGAGTGGCCACAATAGGGGAGGATTCGCAAGGTGTCTTCGCAGCGGTATTCCGAAAGGCAAACTGGGCACCTGCGGCACATAGCAATTCAACATTTTTATTAGCTGCGTCCGGATTAAGGATTCCATAAGCAATCCAACTGAACAAAATACGTAAAAACATCTAAAAACAGACGAATTATTGATGAAACAAATAAGAATCCCAGAATGCAGGAACACTTCAAAATGCATTATTAAAGAACAATATTCTGTCATGTACAATCATAAGTTACATAATCAGAAGAACCAAAATCCCAAATCAACTAGCATCAATAAGAAAAGAAAGCAGCATTGTTAACATTCCCAAACCAAAGTAAATGTGGAGGTTGGCTGTTTCATCGAATCCAACTCGAGTAGCTTGAGAGCATAAATGTCTCATTTACACCCCTAGTTTACACAAACCAAACCCGGAATTAACCACACATAAAACGGTCTAAAATCCGAAATGAACCAAACCTAGAATACTTGAAATTGAAATACCTTACATTTGAAATGATTCGAACTCAAATCATCTCGACATGATCTGAAATCAAACCCTTCCAATTGCCACCTGTATCCCTTATCTAGTCATTCCAGATTTAGTGGGAGCAAATAAAGAAACAACTGCCTCCATTTTTTATTTGATGGAACAACCAACCTCCACTTAACATGATAATCAGGAACATCTTAATCCAATAAAAGTGGAGAATGCCTTAGGTCAACCTCAAGGTAGTGAGCTTTGCAATTAGTGTTATGAAAAAATCTTAAAACCAAACTTTTTTGTATAGCAGGTCGATGACCACTTAAAAAGGTTAGATCTATGAATAAAGAAAATATAGGGGCAATACAAAGAATACGCTATTCACCACTCTTTTAATGAAGATGGTAACTTTATCAATGAAGAAACCAGAAGTTTTATAATCGAAGAAAAAGGGAAACAGAAGTTTGCTTGAACAACGTTTTTCCAAGCGGTACTCATTGTGAGTAAAGCATCTTTCATCATTTTTGCCCAGCAAGTCTCTATCAGAACGTTTCAAAAGAATAATTAATATTGGCTATGATCACTAAAATGCCAGACGCATCAAATCATAATTGAAAATGTGGCATGTTCATAGCACGAAAAGTAAGATGATAGAAAACGGAAAGGCAGCCTATATCTAGGCATGTGAGATGAAGATAACACTTCGCATCTGTGCTGTCAGCGCAAAAAATGCAAACCTTTAATAATAAAAATCCCCAAAAATGTTATGCAAAATTAGAAGGCCTCAAATTATTGTGCTTTACTCTTCCTTTATTGGGACCCAAATGCACCTTGGCATCGGAAACTAGCTCATGAAGCAAATATGACAGGCCATAGCTCACGCCTACATCTTCGAAACTTGGCAAGGAGAAGAAAACGAGAAAAAAAGAGGGAAATTTCAAGCACGGAGAACTGCAGCTAACTTCAGAAATCTACCACTACTGCGCTAGCACACTCTGTTGCTCTGTCCATTTTTATTAAGTATATGTGCCCAAAACTCATGTCTTGAGCATATCTAGACACGAGAATGGGGTTTTGATTCTCCAAGAAACCTCAAAATACATAGAAAACTTTAAAAGGCTGAACATTCCTATCAGCAAATACCTATACCCGATACTTCCACCAAAATCCTAGTAACATAGTTAGCATAGGTGAGAAACATTATTTGGAAACAGTAAACAACAAGGGACAGCTATAAAGATAAGTATCTATGTTTTCCTACTAGAAACATCTGTTTCCCAAATAGTTTTTAGTCAATGAGCATTAAGAGTAAAAGATTTATATTTTTCAAGTCAATATTCCTCCCTTTTGTTCAATCTCTCTTCTTCTTTCCCATGAATTTCCTCTTTTTCACCCTAAATATCTTTCCCTCTCCCTCATATCCCTGATCTTCGTTTATCCCTACTTCCCTGCCTCTTGTGCATAAAGTGTACAGCACACAAGAAGCAAAATTTTCTCATTGATATCTCATTCATTGCTTTCCTATGCTAGTTGCACGCCGGTATGATTGTCGAATGTATGTTACCGACTCGGGTATGTTTAAATTTTTTCTAAGTTTTCCATTCATTTGGAGGATATATAGGGTCATCTTCCAACCATACCCATATCTGAAAGTGTTGGACACAGTTGTTGAACATGGGCACTCCAAGGAAAATGAAGAGCCAGAGCAACATAATCTCCACCTCTTCCCTCGTTATTTTAAATTACTGGGGGAAATTATTAAAGCCAAAACAGACTAATTCCCATATAAAAACGTTTACGGACAAAAACCAGGAAGAAATACTCAATTTGCCCTCACAGAAACAGCATCAATATCTGAACAACCGTCCATAGTCTATCACATTTGTGACTTGATGATGCATTGATGCTTCATGGCCTTAAAGTAAAACCTTTCAGTTTGCCAAACCACTTCATTGGGCATTCATCTCAATACTATGAAAAGAAAATTGCATACACCAAAATGTAATAACTAACCTGCAAATCCTAGGCATCTAGCACTTTTTCATGGAAAAGTTACCTTCATGATATAATGTAAAATATTAAATAGTAAAGAAACGTGCAATAATTTCCTAAACAAAGCTAGGTTCCAAGCACGTACTGAGCATCTTTGTTAGCTGAGAAGCACTCCTCACAGAAATTCTTCGTCGGGAAATTTGCAACAACAACAGGCTCAAGACCGTGTGTACCCCTTTCGAGCTGCATATACGAAATTCAATATCGATAATGAATGAGGATCACTCCATAAAGAATGAACGAGACAATTGAAAAGATAATAAACATGATAATGATTCAGGTTTACTTCTATTACTTTCTGATTTTCATTTTTGTCCGGTTGGTTTTAGCAGAATGTCTGACTATGTTGCTATAGTCTTCAATTTTTTTCTAGGAATATTTATGTCCAACACATACTTTCCAAGAACACTCTAAATACATGTAAATTTTGGGAATATTGAACATGTCAATGGGACACATCCCGATCCGAGACTCTCACCCAAGTCTGAATCTACCTAAAATGACAAATATTTTCTCCTTCCCGCCCCCCCTCCTTTTCTCATGTACCTTTTAGTTCACATATCAACAAAGGCATTGGAGCCTAAAAGCCAAAAATCCTCCAAAATCATTACAATACATCTAAGAAATTTAAGAAAAACTTGTGAATCACCCAAAGAAAACCATAAATAAAATTTCTGTGGAAACCATTTTAGAAGTTTAAATGCAGAAGTAAACAATATCAACTATAATCCATACATAAAATCAAATTTCCACATAAGAAATGCCCAAAAGGGGAAAAAAATCAAAATTACTAAACATAAGGGGGGGAAACCCTTTAATCTTCTCTTCAGTGCCCTCAATATTCATCCTTTCATTGCTAATGTTGAATAACCACTAGCAATCAGATTCCAAAATTTAAAAAACCTATTATTATAGAAAAAAATTCGAAATTGACCAGAAATATATATATATATAAAGAAATGTTAGGAAACAATTGTTTTCCATCAGGCATCAGTATAGTTGAACATCCAACCAAACCAGAATTGTTAATAATAGTAAAAAAAGAAAGAAAAGAACACAACCCGGTTCTGGAAATTTAAGAATTAAGACCCCCAAAAAACTTTTCTTAAAAAAGAAAAGAAAAAAAAGCTTACCATACTAAGATCAGATCTTGAAGAAACAAAGAAGGATCTCCGAGAAGCTCTGAGCTGAATCCGAGCACAAATCAGACGTGTACAAATAAACACTATGAACATAATACTCACTGTGAAGCCTATTACTGTCATCACCAAATTCATCCCTCCCGATATCATTTCCTAATTATATATTTGTTCCACGAAAAACAAACATAAGAAAGAAAGAAATCAACTTCTCAAGCTCATTCCAAACAGAAGAAACAGACGTGAAGCGGTTCCAAGACAACTCATTTTCGATTTACACGAGCATCATAGAAATTGAAGGCTTTAGTGACGAAGTGAAAGAGTTTGAGCTTTGTCGCCGACTGTTTCATTGTTGGAAACGGAGAGGGGATCCATTTTATAAAAGAAGAAGCGCTTAAAGCTGATCTGTTGCTCAGTGTACTAACGTTGGTTTATTTGCTGATTTGTTTGGGTTAGTATGTAATTTGCTTCAACTTTCATGGTTAAAATATTTGGAGTAACACATGTGGTTGGACTTTGGGGTGATGACATAAATTTCTCTTTCAATTTTGCTTGTTGGGATTGTCTCAGGAAAGGCGGGTTAATATACGGCTAATATATAGCATTATCGGATACATTAAAATATTTAATAAATTCGGTTTAGCGGTACCTATTATGTTGACAACTATAATATTTAGGTAGAAAATATGAAAAACTATTAAAAAATTTGGTAACCGGTAAACTTTGGTTATCGGTAAGTATCTATCCTTTTTATAAAAGTGTCCATACGTTACATATCAAGTAAATTTACCGGTTTTGTCATAATGAATCTGGTTTTGTCATATTTTTACTGTTATATGTAAATTATCTATCTTTTTATAAAAGTGTCCATACTTATTCACTGTGAAAATATATTTATTATTATCTTTAGTTAATATTGTTAAATTTAAATCTAAATATATTTTATAAAATATCAAAACAATTAAATAATTTTTTGTAAATGAATTATTAAATTAATATTTAGGTGGAAAACATGAAAACTATTAAAAAAATTGAAACTAAATTACATAACTTTCAAAAAAGTATATATCATTTTTATAAAGTGTCCATACTTATTTCACTGTTGAAAACATATTTATTATTATTTGGTTAATATGTTAAATTTAAATTCTAAATAATATTTTATAAAATATCAAAACAATCAAATAAAATTTTGTGTAAATTAAATTATTAAATTAATATTGTAGGTGGGAAAACATGAAACACTATTAAATAAATTGAAACATAAATTACATAACTTTAAAAGCAGTTTTAAATCCTAAAAAGTGTCGATACTTTTAAAATATCGATCCAAAACGATATACCAGGTAAAATATGATAAAACCGGTAACAAAATGATAAAACGGTAAATTTAAAAGTGTCGATACGTTATATAAGGATCGACACTTTGTGAATTTAAAAGAGAAGCAGTTATAGCGCCTATATGTGTCGATACTTTAAAAAATATCGATCCACAACGATATAACAGGTAAAAATATGATAAAACCGGTAACAAAATGATAAAACCGGTAAAATGATACCGGATATATTGAAGTGTCGATACTTCGTAGTACGTGTAATAAATTATCGACACTTTCAAAGAAATAGGTAATTATCCTTTCGAAAGTATCGACACCTGACATAAAAGTATCGACACTTTTGTATTTGTATCGATTAAATATAAATAACATATCCGATGAAAATATAAAGGCCATAGCTAAATATCCTCTGAAAAAAGATAGAACGGACGAGTTTTTGAAATCGAAGAGTAATTGTTGCTGCATTTCAGAAGGCGTTTCTAAAGCGAAGTTTGTTTGTTTGTTGCTGCAGTCGGATCGAAAAGTATGTTGTCGAAACCCTAATTTTTTATTATTACAGTAATCGCGATAGGGTTTTTTATGTGTTGTTTGGGGTTTTGGAGTAAGGAAGCATTGGGACCGATGCAGGTAGAAATAGATATTCAAGGAAAATATAAATGTCGATACTTTTATTAATATTAGGTAGAAAATGATATAGGTTGTATAATGTGCCGACACATTTTGTGGCCATTCAAATTCTTTTGAAGAAAACCGTTTTACCACAAGAGTAGTTATCTATATTGTATATTGAAAGTGTATGTAACAAATAATTTGATTTGCGTAAACTGATATATGAAGGAAAAATGGAGTCAATGGGTTGGAAAATTGTTGGTGGAGCAGATGACTTTGAAATGAGGCCGAGACTCGAAAGCAACCAAATGGTGGAATATGTACTTCTAGTAAGTATCAATGTCTTTTGTTATTGTTGAAATGGTAATTAGATTAAAGTATCGATAAACTTTAAATGATTACAAATTTTAATGTTAACAGTATGGCTGAATGCAAAAGGATGAGGGAGATGGCACACAGAGCGGTTCGGTATGTAAAATGAAATTGACATTGAGTAGTATTAGTATTAGTGTTAATGTATTGATTAAGAAACGTTTATGTTTAATATTAGGTGAAAAAAGATGTGAGGTCCAAATGGAATTCAATGAGTGATGTGAAAAGGAACCTTACATCACACAGTCAAGGAATGATAGTAAAGAATACAAAGAACGGAGGAAAGCATGAAATAGGTATTCATTAAACTTGTAAATACGTTGATACAAAATATATAAGAACTATAACATTATATATTGTTAAAAAATGTAGGAAGTGTCGACAAGATGCAGCATTAAAAGGGTGAATTTATTAATTAAACACCTTAAGGAGAAGGGTCAGTTGAATGTGCTGGGAGAATAGGTTTGGATCGTGTGGATCTTACTTGGGGGATGAGCTGAAGGGAGTTCTATTGTACCTTGTCGGGATATTTCTTTGTCCAACGGGTGATACGTCAACGAACAAGGAATATATGAAGCTCATTTGCGATGAAGGCTTGAAGGGTGAATTCAATTGGGCTGATATATCCATCGAGATGATTGCACCTTTAAAAAGGGCAGCCAGAGATACCTCAAAGGTGCATAGCAATCTTAGAGGTAAATGAGTTGAATCACTTTTTGTGTTTTTATATAAAAATATAAATTTATTATAAATGCAGGTTGCATGTTCGATTTTTGGTCGGGCTGTGAGGCAGTGCCGGCATATGAAAGAACGGAGTGGCACGCATCCGTGCATGGGGGAGGAAGAGGTGGTTAGAGTGATGGTGAAGTTGAAGTTGGATAGAGGGAAGAAGCAAGAAATGGTAATAAATGTAATTAAATAATATTAAGAATATAATCAATGTCTTATTGTAATTTAATTTTTTGAAGGTTATTGCAAGGATGTAGAGGAGGCAGTGGAGGCAGAGGAGAAGAAAGGAGGGATGGTTGTATTGGGGGATGAAGGTGGTGGGACGACGGTGAAGCAAAACAGAGTAACTTCGACATTTTGATGTCTGAATTGGCTGATATCAAAAAAATCCAATTTGAAATCATGCAAAGACAATCAAGAGTCGAAGAGAAACTTGATCAAGTCGTAGAGAAACTCGAGAGAGTCGAAGATACACTCGAGAGGCATAAGGGGGTAGTGGAAGGAAAATAGATGAGTGGTGAAAGAAGTAGAGGTGTTGAGGGTGAAGTGGTGAAAGAAGTTGGGGTGTTAAGGGGTGATATTAAGATGGTGACGGGAGAAAAATTTGAGGGAGTGGTGAAGGAGGTTGTTGATTTGAGGAGTGAACTTACGGGGGGTGAAGGGGTGGTTGATAAATACTCGGATGAAGGAGCTCAATTGAAGGGTGAAATAAAAGATATGAAGAGCTATGTAGAAAAAAAAGTACGATGAACTGAAAAAATATGAAGAAGAAAAGAGGGAGGAGGAAGAAGAAGAAGAGATGGAAGAAATGGGAGGAAGGAGTCGATGTCATTTATACACCGGAGAGTGTTATAGCAGCAGTTTTGGATTCGGAATGTCCTGCACCCCAGAAGAAGAAGCAGAAGGTAAGTTTAATAAAAAAAATAATTTGATTTTTATTATGTTGTTGTGACAAAAATTTGTATGCAAAATTGTAGGTTGAAAAAGCGGATATTCCAACCGGAATTGATGACATCGAAGCTGCAATTTGTGATTATTTATGGAATAGCGAGTTAGAATCGGGGTAAGTGAAATATATTGTTTGTGAGTGATATTTAAATATTTCATGACAATATATTAATCCTAATGATTCATACAGATATTCTGTAATATCAATGGGAAATCAATTCGCTACTGTATACGACGTTGCAAACGTTGAAGCCTACGGAATGGGTGGTGGTGTGGTAAGTAGAAAGTAGAAAATAAATAAAACTTATTGATATGTTCTGATTGTGTATTAATTTTGTTAGGTTATCGATTTGCTCGCCTGGACCATATGCTACGATTCTCAAAAGTCACACCGGAGGATTGGCTACCTTCCATACCTCTTAGTGTGAGTTAAATGAAAATATTGAAAAGTAGTGTTATAGATGGTAAATTAATAATGTTTGTTGCGTAATTACAGCAACAGGCGTTGGAAGCCAACAACAAAGAAAGTGTTGAGATATTTCTACCTTCTGGGGTGTCCATATTGGATAACTATGTGAAATTCACGACTGTGAGAAGGTAAGACACCATACCAATTGCAAATGATGTTTTCGGATATAGAATGTTGAATTTTGTCAAATGGGTGTGAAATTTGTTGCAGATAATGATCACAATAAACTACCATAATTCACATTGGGTTTTTGGTGGATATGTAGATCATGTTAACAATATATGATAGTATGTTTACAACTGAAGCAGCTAAACAGAGAGTGAAGGGATGCTAAGAGATGGTATGTATGTATGTATGAAAGGACATTATGTAAATTATAATGCATAATTTTTTGGTGTGCATAACTTCTATTTTAATGCAGATTAAAATATTAGATTCTTATAATAAGAAACGCATTTGGGTTGAGTCATGTGGATCTCTAGGAAAGTATCCCTTGAAAATTTCAAATTGGAGCATAAGAAGAATAAGCAATTGAATGGGTATGAGATGTTATCACAAATAGAAAGCTTAATTTATGCAGTTCATCATAATTGACATGTGTGGTTTTCAAATTTTGTAACAGATATGATTGCGGCATGTATGTGATGATGTGGATGGAATCGATCGGTTTACAGGGCAACTGGTGATTTTGTAAGTGGATAGAAAAAATTGTTTGTGGTAAAATTGTTAAAGTCGTAGATGAATGCTGTAGTTGACAATACTTAACGTTCTGACAATTTGAATATAGGTTGTTGGAGACTGGGATCGATCGCGAGTATTAAACGATCTCGTAAGCCACAATCAAAATGAACGAAGACAGGAGATAACAAAAGCTGCAATATTACATAAGAATAACAAAGGATGCAATGATGTAAA